ACTCCTTTTCTTGTTTTCCAGGTACTTTTGACTTCTTCAGAAGCAGGTTTTTTGCCATCTCAATTCCTTGAAGCTCAAATGCTAGCAATGAGGAGGATTGGATTGGGTTTGGACAGGCAGACAGTGATGGACAGGGGTGTTGGAGTTACATTAGGGCAAAGAGCAGCTCCTGCTATTGTAGATAGCTTAAAGGTCAAGGAAATTGAAGGGGAGCCACTTCTGGATGCAAATGCTTTGAAAGCTTTGATACGACTTCTACGGTTAGCACAGGTAATGCTATTTTCTTCTACAGAAAAGGTTAATGCTGTTTTGCTAAATGGTTCAATGGTTAATAAATCTTTCTAACTGGGTAATGTCAATGTTTCTTTACCAGCTTGTCTCCCAGGGGGTGTGGTATTGTTCGGAATTGACAATTTTAAATCCAACTTTTGATGCTAGAAATGTAACTTTTAGTTTTCATTTAGGAGATTCCACAGAAATAGTTGGTTCAAAAAGAAAGGCCAAAAAAGAAAATAAAAAACAAAGATCAAAGAATCAATAAAGTTATTTATATTAAATATTTTGTTAACTTGTGGTTTTTATGTGTTGATGGTCTTAGCCCCTTGGGAAAGGCCTTCTGCAGAGACTTCTGTTAAACCTGTGTGCACACAGAGTTACAAGGGCAACTTTGGTTAGGCCTTTGCTTGATATGATTAAACCTGAGGCTGTAGGCTTGGTCAGTGGGTTAACAACAATTAATTCACAGAGGCTTTATGGTTGCCAGTCAAACGTTTTTTATGGTCGATCACAGATGTTAGATGGTAATACTTTCATCTAATGGAATTGTAGCTATCTGCAATGTTTTAACTTAAACTTCAACTTCTTTATCTTACCTTTAATCTCATGTCCTATAATAGGTCTTCCTCCTCTCGTATTGCGCCGTATTCTTGAGATCTTGACTTATTTGGCTACAAATCATTCTGCTGTTGCAACTATGTTATTCTACTTTAATCCCTCAACTCCTCTGGAGGTTACAAGTGCAAGTTATTTAGAAACAAAGAAAGATAAAGGAAAGGAAAAAATATTAGATGGAGAAGCTGAATCTAACGTTTCAGGAAATTCTCAAGAAGGGGATATTCCTTTAATGCTGTTCCTGAAGCTCTTGAATCGACCATTATTTTTACAAAGCAGTTCTCATCTTGAGCATGTGAGTGCTCAAATTCATTGCTCTCTGAAATTTTATTGATCTTTTTTATTGTTATCATTTATTTTGTGTATTCCTCTGCTTAGGTTATGGGCTTGATTCAAGTGGTTGTCAATACAGCTGCATCGAAGTTGGAATCTAAGTCATTATCTGAATTAACAGTTAAGAACTTGAACTCACAGAACCTGCATTCCAATGAATCTTCTGGTGATGTTCAAAGGGATCCTCCTTTGTCGAAACCAGAATCTAGCCAGAAGGAAAAACATGTCAATGAAGAGTCATCTGCTTCAGATGGGAAGACGATGGTTGATACCTCTGATATATTTTTGCTGCTGCCACAATCTGATCTGCGCAATCTTTGCAGCCTTCTTGGTTGTCCAGGGTATTTTCATGCTATTAATTTTGGCTTGTGTCTACTAATTATAATTTTTTTCTCTCTGCTCTTACTATTTATATCTACACCCCATTCTCATTGCTTTTATGTCCCTCCTTTTTGACCACAGAAGTGAAATACTAAATATCTCGCTGACTATTCTATAATGTTGTTCAGGCTATCAGACAAGGTTTACATGCTAGCTGGTGATGTGCTTAAGAAGCTGGCTTTCGTTGTTGTGCCCCATCGAAAAATTTTCACTTTAGAGCTTTCAGAATTAGCTAATAGTTTAAGTAGTTCAGCTGTCAGTGAGCTTGTTACGCTGCGGAATACCCACATGCTGGGTCTGAGTGCAGGTTTGATGGCAGGTGCTGCAATCTTACGTGTGCTGCAAGTTCTTAGCTCACTTACTTCAACTAATGTTAATGAGAATAGGGGTTTAGACAGTGATGGTGAACAGGAGGAGCAGGCCACAATGTGGAAGTTAAATGTTGCATTAGAGCCACTATGGCAAGAACTAAGCGATTGCAGTAGTATGACTGAAGCACAGCTTGGTCAGAGCTCTCTCTGTCCCTCTACACCCAATATCAATGTTGGGGAGCATGTACAGGGAACATCAACTTCATCTCCTCTTCCTCCTGGAACTCAGAGGCTCCTTCCTTTCATTGAGGCTTTCTTTGTTTTGTGTGAGAAGCTTCATGCAAATCATACCGTCATGCAGCAAGATCATGTAAATGTTACTGCACAGGAAGTCAAAGAGTCTTCTGAAAGTTTTGCTGCCCTAACCACAAAATTCAGTGGCGATTCTCAGAAAAAGGTTGATGGTTCTGTCACATTTGCAAGGTTTGCTGAGAAGCATCGCCGGCTTTTGAATGCTTTTATCAGACAGAATCCAGGCTTATTAGAAAAGTCATTTTCTATGATGCTGAAAGCTCCTAGATTAATTGACTTTGACAACAAGAGAGCATATTTCTGTTCAAGAATAAGGCAGCAGCATGAACAACATCTCTCTGGCCCATTGCGGATTAGTGTTAGGCGGGCATATATTTTGGAGGACTCGTACAATCAGCTGCGGATGAGGCCCACTCAGGATTTGAAAGGACGTTTAAATGTGAATTTTCAAGGTGAGGAGGGTATTGATGCTGGAGGCCTGACTAGAGAATGGTATCAATTATTGTCAAGGGTTATATTTGACAAAGGAGCATTGCTTTTCACTACTGTGGGCAACAATGCAACTTTCCAGCCAAACCCCAATTCTGTTTACCAGACTGAACATCTTTCTTACTTCAAATTTGTTGGTCGTGTGGTAAGTTGTTGGGAATATAGGTGTCTTAGCTGAGTATTATTGTGGTGGTCAGTTCAATTCCGATTTTTCCTTTTCTCTTTGATTTTTATGCAGGTTGCAAAAGCACTGTATGATGGGCAGCTTTTGGATGTTTATTTTACTCGGTCCTTCTACAAGCACATTCTTGGTGTAAAGGTGACTTACCACGATATAGAGGCCGTTGATCCTGATTATTACAAGAATTTGAAGTGGATGCTGGAGGTGACTTTGATTACAAGATCATTTTTTATTTTATTTGGTTGACTTTCTATAATGTGCATTGGAGTAGTCCCTTCAAGGAATGCCATCTCGTTCTCATCAACATATATTTTTATCTATTTCAGAATGATGTGAGTAACATGCCTGACCTGACATTTAGCATGGATGCTGATGAGGAAAAGCTCATTCTTTATGAAAAAACTGAGGTGAGTCAATTTACTCAATGTAACTTTCGTATAACATGAATTGATCTTCTTTATCATGTATTTCCTTTTCTAGCTTTCATTTTTTTCCATATTCTATTTTCTTGGTCAATTTTTCTTTTCTGAACTAATTTTTTTTTTTTCAAATTTCTTGTCATAAAGGTTACTGATTATGAACTTAAACCTGGAGGAAGAAATATCAGGGTTACTGAGGACACAAAACATGAGTATGTAGACCTTGTTGCAGATCATATATTGACAAATGCTATCCGCCCTCAAATCAACTCGTTCCTAGAGGGATTCAATGAATTGGTGCACCGAGAACTTATTTCAATTTTCAATGATAAAGAGCTTGAACTTCTGATCAGTGGACTTCCTGAAATTGACTGTAAGTTTGTTGTCATTTCTGTATGGTTTTTCTTCACATTGTTTACTTGGCTTTTGTCAGAGTATCTAAATGATAATATCTTACTGGTAGTGGATGATCTAAAGGCAAACACTGAGTACACTGGCTATTCGGCTGCATCTCCTATTGTTCAATGGTTTTGGGAGGTAGTGAAAGCCTTTAGCAAGGAGGACATGGCAAGATTTCTGCAATTTGTTACTGGAACGTCAAAGGTAATTTTAATTAATTGCAAAGAGTGGTTAAGTAATCTAGGAAAGTTGTTATTATTGATAGGCTATGCAATGAAACTTGACTGTTGGTTTTCAGGTGCCGTTGGAAGGCTTTAAGGCATTGCAAGGTATCTCTGGTCCTCAAAGGTTTCAGATTCACAAGGCATATGGAGCCCCTGAGCGACTTCCTTCTGCACATACATGGTGAGCACTAATTTTCCCACCTGGAGTATCGCACCTTTTTTCTTCTGGTTTTGAGTGCTTAGGTTTGCAATTTTAATGTCTGATTTTGATTGTTTTTTTTTTTTTCCTTCTTTTCTTCAGCTTTAATCAACTAGACCTTCCTGAGTATTCCTCCAAGGAGCTGCTTGAGGAACGGTTGCTGCTTGCCATTCATGAAGCTAGTGAAGGGTTTGGGTTTGGCTAACTGAAGTTTCTATAGCCGTATCATATCACAGACCCCTGTGAACGCTGCCATCCATCCTCAGATCTACTTGCACATGTTAGTATGCTTCTGTAAATCGAACCGTAGAATTACCCTTGGATGAAATGCTTGAGATTTAATATAACAGTAGATTCAAAAAGGTTTTTGTGAAACGCCAAAGGACAAATTTATGCTGAGCCTCTAATCTGACTACTAATCTTCGTCTACTTTATTCCTTTTCCGCAGAGGGTGATGGGTTTTGGCAGATGGAGATGTGACAATGCAAGGAAAATTTATGCTCCCCCAGTCTCAAAGCAAGGTTCACTAAACTATGCACACCAGATTTTGATGGATGGAGAGTGTCCTCAAAGACAATGAGTTGGTTTTTGCTTTTGTGCTATGTCTGGGGTGGTAGTATGCATAGTTGTTGATATTAGTTTTTGTTGATTTTTGAAATGGTTAGTATGGCCAATGGCCCTTTGGATTAGCGTATGTCCCAACACCTATTCATTAATTAGTAAAAAGATAGTGACTGTTCCATCACCTTTCTTGACTCTTGTGTTTCATTTTTGTTCTACGCTTCAGATAAAAGGCATATTTGATGGAATTTGTAAAAGTTTTAATTTTTTAATATTATTTATATTTCATAAATTTAAATTTTTTTAAAAAAATTTATATTTTTTAATTTTTTTAATTTAAAAAAATTTTAAACAGTAAATTTTAAAAAATTTTAAATTTATACTTTTTATAAATTTTTTTATTCACTTCTTACTTATTTTTTTTATTTTTAAAAATAACTTTTAAATTTTTTTTAATAAAAATTAAAATTTATCACTCCTAATCAATAAAAAAAAAAATTTATAAATTTCACCAAACATACTGTTAATCTTTTTCCTGTTCCCTTAACCCCTAGCTTAAGAAATGTCAGTCAAGCTGTGTATCGTATTACTACATCATCAAGGAAAATGATTCTAGTTCGTTGGAACGAAAAAGTCATTAGCGTGTTGTCAATCGTTAAGCCATTTTAGTATTGCCAAGAAACTATGGTGGGAAATGGAAGGTCTTCCACAGAAATTGCAGATAACTTTCTCTACAGCTTCCCTCCAATTCCTATAGCCATTTTTGTATTGCCAAGAAACTCCGGTGACGCGCGGAAGGCCGTGCACACAGAAATTACAGGTAACATTCTTTACGGCTTCCCCCCGATTGCTACGTTTTTGGAACTGGTGGCTTCCAAAATTTCCTTCTTCACTTTTATTATTTTATTATTATTTTACTATTTTTTTACTTCTCCTGACATTATGTAGACGTCAAGGAAGGAAAATCAAGGAAATCTGCAGGAAACTGATTGAGGTGGAAAACAACATAACCCCAATTTTGCTATATTTTGCATTGTTTAGGGACAAGCTCTTATATATACGGAACCTTTATTTTTTTATTTTTTCCTTTCTCCTGTCCGGGCTTTGTATTGGTTCTTTTTTCCTAGCTTGAAGTGTTTGATGTTTCTAGCTAGACTCTAAGATGGAAATCTATTCCAAGCAGTGGAAAACAATAATATGATTATTAACGAATGTGGCTCAGAAACCCCACCAAATAGAAGGAAGATTTTGCGACTGTTCATGAGCATCAGAGAATTTTATTGGTACAGTGACTGTTACAGAGCTGGTCCATAGTGCTGGGCATAAATACATGTTATCTGTTTTTATTATCTTTTATTGATATATTGACAAAGTATAATTCAATTTATATTATATCAGATACAGTACATTAACTATTAAATAAAAAGTTAAATTATCTAATATTAAGGTACTTTTTCCATTCAATAGTCATTGTTACATAAAACTCAGATTACAAAATAAAGATCATTAGATGGAGAGATGATTCCAATATCAAAAGGCTTATCTCGCATCTCATGGTTAATGTAGTGTAATTCAATATAGTTTAAACTGTATTATATTTTTTTGTCTATATATATTATTAGCCAACAACTCAACCTACTATAAGAGAGAAAACTTTATTACTAAACTTCAGTTATTAATTTCTTGATAAATATAAATTTCTCTTTTTAAGTAAAGTCTACAAATATTGTCAATCAAGAGGTAACTTATATGTCAAAAAAGCAAACTTTATTGATATTTATGTTGGTTTTTACATGAAAATAAGAAGAAAAATTTGTCTAATGTTCTTTCCATCTCCCATGGGACCTTATAACTTTGCACCGTAGAGAACAAGAACAAGGGAAAAAATTAGAGGGGAGCATAAGAAGATCAAGAGATAGAAGAAACAAGTAAGGAACGAAAAGAGAAGCAATTAAAGAAGGATAGAGACAAGTTAGGGAAAAATTGAAGCCATTGAACATGAACTTCTTTCAGAATTATCCTCAAATTGCATATATATTGACATGCATGCTTAATGGCTTCAAATTTGAGAATAATTCTGAAAGAAGTTCATGTTCAATGGCTTCAAATTTTCCCTAACTTGTCTCTGTCCTTCTTTGATTGCTTCTCTTTTCGTTCCTTGCTTGTTTCTTCCATCTCTTGATCTTCTCATGCTCCCCTCTAGTTTTTTCCCCCGTCCTTCTTCTCTAAGGTGCTAAGTTATACCGGCAAAACATCAGATTTTCCTCCCCTTCCTATCTTTATGTAAGAACACGAGACCTGAAATTGGAAAACATGGAGACTCTGTGTTGCTGAGATCGATGTTATCTCTTATTGGTAGAAATACAGGCAGATGGTTGGGAATGGTGGCGGCTGGCTGCTTAATCTCCAAACTGATAGATCCGACCATTTCCATCATTGAAGTATGTTGTTGGGAACACGTTCATGGAATTCCTGCATGTGTTTACAGTAATCCTCATTCCTCAATAGCTTCATGATCTGCATTTTCCCCTCAGATGATCTCTGCCAGCGTTAAATCAAAAAGAAAAGAATAAGAAGAAACATAATATACATGTCTTGTTTTTTGTCCTGTTTTCAAGAAATAACATCAGGGTGCAGTAACTCAAATACCTGTTGCTTGCTATATTTGCTTTATTCAGCTGCAGAAAGCAATAATTTCCTTCAGCTAAGCCTCATTCCTGCCTTTTTTTTATTTTTTTTTATTTTTTTATTGTAAGTCTAGCACCAACGAAAAGATTATATAGGGGAGCAAAGGAAGGAAAATTATTATGAGTTTACACCAGAAACTTCTATTTCCTTTCCCATGTAACGTGTCTTAAACCTCATACGCGGTATAAATTACATGTTCCATCCTTGAACTTCAACTACCTTTCCTAATTAATATTAATTTATTTTTCCTTCAACGGTTAGCTCCTTGACTCAACTAACCTAAATAGAGGAAAAAAAAAATCCAGTAATTAACATCCCATCTCAAATACTATCTGTATGAAGTGGTCCAAAGTCAATCATTTTCTCAAGTCATCTCCTTGTGTTGTGTCCATGTAATCCATTTATGCGGTTTGTCACTGAAGAATTGATCTTGATTTTCTTGTGGATTATTAATTGACTTTGATTCAACGAGAACACAAACATTAATTTTAATTCCCACCTCCTGAGCTACGCGGCTGTCTTTTTTCCCGTTTCACCAACCCTCAATGACCTGCAAACCAAGTCAATTCCAAGCTCAAGCCTAATCTTATATCCAACCAAAAGCCCAAGTCCAAAACTTGGGTGCCTACTGCCTGCCCCAATTCCTAAATTGGGCTGCAAAATCTACCATACCAATTTATCTCTCCAAAATGTTTCTAGAATGTTAAATAATCAATCCTTGCGCTTCCAAAGTAGTTTTAATGGGCCTAGCTAGCCCAAAATGACAACCATTAAAGACGTTTTATGTTTACTTCCACTTTTGTGCTTCTGCTGCTATTTCATCAGAGACTGCAGGAAACTACCCCTAATCAAATATCAATCGTTGATTGCTCCACATGTGCTTCTGCAGTTTCCCATTCGAAAGTACAAGAAACTACCCCTATAACTTCTAGGGGTAGTTGTATGGTGGTAATTTAGAGTTTGGAAGCAAGGAAGCTCGGACTGACTCTTCGATGAAGAATCCATCATACAATTTTCAAACCCTCTGCATTTTCCAATCCAGAAGGTAATCAAACTGAATTCAAAGGTAGGTTTTTGAATTTGATATATGGGTTTCGAATTTTGATTGCTGACGGAAAGAGAAAAGGTTAATAGAGGATGGAAACCTTGAACCAGATAAAGTGTTGTCTGATAAGTTCCTTTAGCTTTTTTTTTTTTTTTTAAATGTTATTTTGTTAGTCATGGGTGTTCAAAAACAAAAACCATAAAGCATATTTATGTTCTAAGCTTATAATTGAGAGTTAATAAACCAAGGCAAGCTGAAGAACTTTTAAGTTTGAGTTTGCCTTTTAAACGGGGAGAAAAAAGACATAATAAAATTCTATTTATATTTGTGCTCTAATTGCAGTTTATATAGTAGAGAATATTTCCTTTAAGTTTTCCATTTTTTGTTGAAATTTAAATCAAAGCTGTAGTTTCTGTAACAACTGACAAGGAAAGAGGGAAAACACCAGTAAACCCTCTAGAAGTAGAGACATTGGGGACACTAATAGAAAATATTCTTTGAGTTGCTTCTACTCAAGAAATATCACCTGGTATGTTTTATATTATTTATAGAATAACTTTGAATTGTAGACTACATTTCTAGAAGAGCTAAGCATTAAGTTAAATGTAGGAAATGAAACGGTACAAGTTTATGAATACAGCAGGATCATAGCAAGAGCAAACTTATTGTCTGAGTTTGAAGATTATTTGCAAAGAAGTACAAGGGAGAATGTGATGAAATGTATTTCTATCTTTTTAATAATGATGAAATTAATTTAATACATCAATTTTTCAACAAACTGTTCCTTAAGAAGGTCTATATGCACAGGAATAACATAGGATGGTAGACGAATGGAAATTGGGGAGTCAAGCAATTCTGCCACAAGAATTTCTCAAAAAATAGTAAGGACAATTGAAGAAAGCCAAGAAAATACTGTCACTCCAGCCCAAAGACAAGAAATAAGGAGGACAGGAATTAGAAGACAAAATGGTGCAAATCCCTTTGATGTTCCACAGAGATCAACAAGAAAAAGACAAAGAGAACCTACCAACAATAGTAAATAATTATATTAAACTTTTAAATGAAGAATCTTTCCATATTTATTATTGGAAAATTAGATGACATTATTATTTATTTACCCTTGAATTTTATAGTTGAACAAAGAAATGTTTTGATTGATTTTGGTCCTCCAATATACATTTGTACAAAGTGTGGAGCATGGCATTGGATCCGGGAGAAAATAAAAAAGGATAAAAATAATGGCATTATTCACTTCTCCCTGTGTTGTAAAGACAGGAAACTACAATTAGCTCCAAGAAAAGATCCTCTTATGTTAAAATCTCTTATTGATAATGAAGGTGGACCAAAAGCCAAGAGATTTAGATCTAATATCCGAAAATGCAACTGCTAGTTTGCATTTACATCTTTTGGAGTTAAAATAGATGACACTGTAAATATAGGATAGGGACCTTTTTGCTTCAAACTATGTGGACAATGTTGTCATAGAATTGGATCACTTTTACCTCTTGAAGGTAAGAATCCAATTTATACAGAAAAAGAAAAAACCAAGAAGATAAATTTTTACAGAAGCTTGGACACCTGAAAAAGAAAAAACCAGTGGCTTAAATTTATACAAAAGTTTGGGTACATGTTTTTTTTTTATTATTTTAAGAAAAAGAAAAATAGACCATTTTAATCAATTCACCTCCTCATCATCTTCATCTTTAAGATTTATGACATCCGTTCATCCAAAGTTTGATGAATAATCTAACATATATGAATTTATAAACTATTAAGATCTTTAAGAAATTAAAAAAATAAAAAACAAAAGAATATTCAAATGAATCAATTAATTAATTTTGAAATAAATATTTACTAAAAAATACTTACCACTAGAAAATCTCTTCCTTTTAATGCCAAAGGTTGAATTTGCACCACTATTAAAAGGTCATGACCGAAAAGCTAAACCTTTGTCATTAAAAATATAAAATTGGAAGATACCATCTCCAACATTTGTAAAGGCAACAGTATCACCATCCGCAATATGATTATCTATTACAAACTTACTCCATCCATTACCAAGACCTGTTTTATAAACAACTACTTTCTATTTATTACCACAAACACCACGAAAGGAAATAATTGGCTTATCACTAAGAAGTTCATCATAGATTTCTTTTGGGATACTCTGTAAAATCATAAATAAAAAAATTAAAATAAAGATGGAGACTACTAAATTGAATTAATAATGGTATTCTAAACAATTTTTAAGAAATAAAAAACAAAAAAGTTAGAAGGAAGATATGAAAAAAATACCATCTTTGCTATACAATCTTTGAAAACATACGTTAAGAAGTTAAATGGTAGTTTATCCTGCACCAGATTACTTATCTTTAGAATTGCAAGCTCAAGAGATTAACAAAAACAGATTAACAAAAGCTTGCTTAAATTAAGAACTAATTAATAAACGTATAAAACGAAGCTTAAGTTGTTAAAAACTATTTTTGAAGGTTCTGAAATTAGTACTAATTTCATCCAATAACGCACATTAAAATAAAACTGCTCAATGAAGTAGGACAATAAAAGAAATAATTTTTTTTATTTCAAATTTGAAAATGATAATTACTATTTATTCCTAACCTATATAATTTTGAACACCCAAAACCGAATTTTGCCTGAAGAAAAAGTAACAACAATGAGTTTAGAGAGCAACAACAATAGTAGGACTTAGTAGAATTTCTGGCGAAAGCTTGATTAACTTGTTTGAGTGGGAATGATGAGTGAGAAGAAATTACCATAACAGATAACAATGATGTTAGTTTCATTTTAAAAGAAGACTATGATACTAAGAACATTGACGCTGAATCACAGGAAAATAGATTGAAGAACTATCTATTGAACCAAAAAGTTAATCTGAAAGTTTGATAATAGAAGTGGATAAGGTCAGAATGGCTATTGAACTGCTAAGATTATCATGTGTATTTGTTTGACTTTTAAACATTAGATAATTAGTATTTATTGTTTATTAACTAGATAATTAATATTTATTGTTTATTTAATTAGATAATTAGTATTTATTTATTTAGATAGTTAGTATCTATTATTTATTTAATTAAGGCTTAGTAGATTAAGAACTATTAGGGATATTTCTAACTTTTTTTAAGACTATTTATAAATATTTAATCTTTTGAAAACTTAAAATAGTTATTTATATACTTCAATGATTAAAATTTAATTATTAAAAAAAATTTCAGCATTGACTTACTAATGATTTTACTGATAACTATATGGCATTTGTCCAACATTAAAACTAAATATTAATGGTGTTACAATTAATTTTTAAATTTAAATATCAATATTTAATAAGATAAAATTTTAAATTTTAAATTAAGTTTTAATAAAATAAAATAATGTAATTTAAAATTAAAATTTTTATTTATTTTAAAAATCAAGATTAATATACATATTTTTTATAAATTTATAATATTATATGATATTATACATTAATAAAATTATAATTAAATTAATAACATTAATAAATTCAACAATAACAATATCGTCAGCCATTGACATACTCCTACTTTTTTTTAAACAATAAAATACGATTTTATTTATTTAAAATACAATGAATACTCCAACCCACTTATTGATTTCATGCTTATCCCATGCTAATTACTATACCTCTCAACAACCCCACTTTCTTTCCCGCATTTATCTCATTTACCTTATGTCATATATTCCTTTGGATCTAGCATCCAATCTGTAAATGAGATTTGCTCAACCTTTATTTTTTGCTTTTATCACTTGCCATGATCTAATCTGATAATTTCAAACACCCTTGCAGCCTCTAGGAAGATAAAATAAAGAATTTTGGCTTACTATATGTATGTTTTTTTTTTTTTAGTAACATAAAAAAAGAGAGAATTTTTTAATATATACCTTAAAATGGTATCCTTTTATCATAAATAGATATAAAAAATTAAAAATTTAGTAGAAATCCACAAAAAAAATAACTTGAGTTAGTCTAGAAGAAATTTGCACAAATTTAAAAAAATTACAAAATACTCATAGTAAATAAATAGGTATAACTATAAACCTAGACAAAATATAATTTAAACCAAAAAAGAGAGGTTGAATACTCTAAGCCAAATGTAATTGATCCTCAAACAACTACATTCAAAGTTGGTATTTTGAGTTTTTTTGCTTTATTTTTGTCTCCAAAATCTTAAATTTTTCCTTAAAAAAATATAGACCTTCATTTTCTAAATATAAAATACAAAATTCAAATTTAATTTCCTTTAAACTGTCAAATAAATTTAACATCAAATATATATATTGAAAAAGGCGACAAATATACATATTGGAAATATGTTTTCATCATTAAAACCAATTCCACTCACACTTTTATTTGCATCTTAAGATTAAGAGACATCAATCATATAAAACTAAAGTAAACAATTATAAATCTTTTAAACAAATGTAAATAAAATCTAAATAATAATTTAAATTAATAAAATTATATTTTAATATAAAAAAGTTACCATTATCAACCTCCCTCATTATTTTGGTTTAACAACACGGTCTTAAAAATATAGATCAAAGTAGTTAATAAAAGGAAAAGAAAAAAAATTAAAAATTGTGATATTTAGAACCAAACTGAAGAAATCAAAAATATGAGAATCAAAGTGTCAATTAATGAAACAGGAGAGACCAGACAGTTTTCCGATGAAGAAACAAAATTGCATTTTAGTCCAAAATCTCGACACGAACTCTGTGTCCACTGTTCAGTGAAGGTGTCAGTACTTCCTTTGAAGTGTCGACACCCTGTGCGATTTCAGCAAATCGCAGCCTGTCTTCCTCTTGGCGGAGGTTCCGGCTCCATTCTTTCTAAAATCTTATAAATACTTTCTAGATAAAAATTGATAAGAGCTTTTTGGAGGCTTTTGACGCTATTTTGGAGCACTCTACAAAACCGAGTTAGAGTTGATAAACAATACAATTAATAGTTAAATATTTATTAATCTCAAGACTCAATAAATAAAA